GGCCGGGGGCCCTCGGAAGAGGCCACCGCGGCGGGGAGGCCGAGGGAGCGCGAGGAAGACACGTACTCATCTGCAAAACCCAAGACAGAGCAAACGCACGGGGTTAGGACTGGGAGGCCGAGGCCCGGAGCGGCTTCCTGCCCAGCACACCGGTAGGACAGGGGAGCCCCAAACTCTGGTGTTGCTGCTGCTGCTACTTGTTTTGCAGCACTGCGGCCTTAGCACTGAGCTACGTCCCTTCTTTAATTTTCAATGTAAAATTTTTGGGTTCTTGTTTGTTTTTTGCTTTTTGGTACCGGGGATCAAACTCACGACCTTGCGTTTGCCAGGCAGGTTTGGCACCGAGCTAAATCCCCGGCCCTAATTTTTTGGTTTCTGAGACAGCGTCTTGCTATATAGTCCAGGATGGCCTTGAATTCACAAGGATCCTCCTGCCTCAGCCTCCTGAGTGCTGGAATTACAGGTTTGCCTCCAAGCCCAGCTTGGGTCTGTCGATCAGCAATCCGCAACCCTCCTGAAGCTAATAGCACTAACAGGTGGCCTCAAGGAGGTACTCAGAAATAATTAAAATAACACAAAGCACATAGCGAAGTTCCTCACGCCCGCCAGCCCCACTTCATGCTCAAGAGCAGCATGGGCCAGAGGCTCTGGCATGAGCAGCACAGCTAAGGCACCGACAGCACTGTAGGAGTTCTGTGGGCAGTGGTGGCTCCACAGACTAGGGGGGGAGGGGCTCTCCTCTGGGAAAGCCTGGTCTGCACAGGCATGTGGCCGCATGGCCTGACCTGAGTGCCCCTCCAACCCACTGCAGAAACTTCTGTCTGACAGCTGCGTCCCAGAGCCCCCGGGCCAAAGAACACCCCCCACACACACACAGCAGCCTCCCCAGGGCAGGGCAAAGCTCTCAGAGCCGCAGGTCATACAGCCCAAGGGATCGTACACTGCACTCAAACTCCACTCTACAGGCAAGGCAGAGATGGAGCAACTCGCCAAGGTCACAAAGCCACTAAGCGGCAGAGCCAAGATGTGACCCGGGCTCCACGACATAGCAGAAGGGAGGCAAGAGTCTGCGGAGACGAGGAGAAGATCCTCCTGCCCGTGGGGTTAGCTGGCAGGAACATGGGCACGGGCGAAGGGGATATCCTAGGCTAGACTGGACTTTTCCCTGCAGACTGGGTTGAGGCTTGCGAGATGTTGGAAGGTGCATACTTTAAAGGGCCGCTCAGCTGCAGTGCTCCACAAACTCAGGATCAGCACGGCCACCCTACACTCTGTCACCCAGGCACCTGGCTCCCCAACCTGGAAGGCTTAGTGGCCCTCAAGGGTGCCAGAGAGCAGGCTCAGGCGCCGCCTAGTGGCGAGCTGTGCAGCCCACAGCCAACGTGCAGAGCATCGTCCTGCCCTGCCCCACTCACCCGGCTTCTCCTTGGCCAGCTGCTTATCCAAGGCAAGGGTGGTCTTCTCCTCCTGAATGAACATGCGATCGATCATCACCATCTCCGCTGAGGGGCTCACCCGCTGGGAGAAAAAGATACTCAAGTGAGAGGGCAAGGAGGGAAGAGGAGGCACAATGTGGGGTACCCTTTTAAAACTTTCAGAGGGGGTATCACTAAGTCACACTGCTCAGGCTAGGCTTGTGATCCTACTGTGTCATCCTCCCAGAGTGCTGGGACGACAGACGTGTGCCACCGCACCCCACACACACTGCCTGCGAGGTGACCGGCTGACTCCCTCCCGACCTCCTTTGCGGCAGAGGGGCTGGGTGGGATGTGGGCCCTACCCGGGACTCCTCCAGGAGCAACAGCCGGTACTTATTGAGCATGGCGTGGGTGCGTTTCAGCAGCTGCGTGGAGACCGTCTCAAACTCCTCGTCCACTGCCAGGAAGAGAAGGGGTGCAAAGCCAAGATGTTGGGGGGCTGCACATTGCCCCCATGCCCCAAGATGCGCAGGCAGCTGCAGCACAGGCGCTCGGTAGTGTCCACAAGCTGGTGGCCCAGCCAGGGCCGGGGGACACGGGGGGTGGGGGGGATGACGACGGCTCACCTTTGTGGTAGTCGCTGGGGGAGGGGAGGGCGCCCTGGTAGACATGGTAGGGCAGGAGGCGGTGCAGGGCGTCCTCGAAGGAGGGGAAGGCTGTCTTGTAGTCGGGGTGGAGGACAGAGCCTTGATGTTTGTGCAAATGCTCCAGGAAGCTGCGGAGGGGCGGGGCGCGGCAGGGCGAGACCGGGTGAGGCCGGGGAAGCTGGCCCCAGCCCAGCCCCAGCCAGACACTCCACGGGACTGGGGTGCGTGCTGCCATGGTTCCCACTTCACCGCAGAGGAAACCAAGGCCCGGAAAGTCGAGGCGCAGCCAATCCCCCCACCACAGAGAGCACAGGGAGGAAGAGAGAGCATGGAGCAGGAGTCTCGGGGCCTGAAGGCCTCTATTCTGTCCCCCGCCACCAGGGGGCAGCCGTCTCAGGCTGCCGGGACACCAGGCGCCCATTGTGGGGGGAGTCCTCTCTGGTGTGACTGCACCATCGCCACCCTTCCCGGTGCCCAGCAGCTCCCACGGGAGGGAACAGGGCTATCTTGTTGGCTGCTGTGTCCCCAAAATCGAGCACGGTGCACACTTGGTACCTACATCCACCACCGACCCAGAACAGCACCTGGAAATCCTGACCCCCAACACACCCAGCCACACACCGGGTGCCCAAAACCACACCTAGAGTTGCGAGTCTGAGGGGCCCAGGGGATGGCAGTGGCACCTCCTGAAGTTGGCAGCCTGGCAGGGCACCCACATTCCTCACGCCCACCACCCCTGGCACTGTTACCATTCCTTTTTTTTGAGACAGGGTGACCTTGAACTCAATTGTCCTGCCTCAGCCTCCTAGGCATGTGCCCCACAGCTGGGTCCCCACTGTTCTCCAGGAAGGAAATGAGTGCACTCGAGAAAGCACACTGCCCACAGTGGTGGAGCTGGGCACGTGCGGGGGTCTCCCAGAGGGGCATGGGATGGGGTGCGAGGCGCTGCCACTCACCAGGCCTCCTTGCTGGGCTGTAGGGCGGGGGGTTTCTTCAGGCCGCTCAGCTTGCCCTCGTACTGGGGAGGATGGAGGAGACACGAGGCTGAGGCAGGCTCCTTCCACCCACAAAACCCACTCGGTCTCGGCCCCTGGCCCCCGCACTCTGCCCCACATTGCTTTGTGTCTTCTTTTCCTCTCTCCACTCCCATGCCGGCCCAGGCTCGCCCACACCCGCCTCCTCGTCCTGGGCCACTCCCTGGTCCCGTCCCTCCTCCTGCCTGCGTCAGCGGCATGTCCCTGGGTCCCCAGCCCTGCCTGAGGGCCTTACCTGCAACCCAGAGGACTTCGCCGGCCCAGATGCTGCGGCCTTGGCCACACTCAGGGCCGGAAGGTTGCTGGGAAAAGTTTTGCTCTCAGCCGGAAGCAGAGGGGGAAGGCCTGTGTGTGGTGGGGAGGATGGGCCTAGGGTCACCAGCGCAGAGGCCCCACCTCGGCAGGGAGCTTCCTGCCCCACGCCAGCCCACCCCTCCGGCTGTGTCTCTTGACAGGTGCTCCCCTACCTGTGGTGGCCATGGGTGCCGGGGCGGGGGTCCCGGGTGGGGCAGGCGCGCTGACCAGCACCGAGGAGGTGGGGTTGGCGAGGGGCCCCAGGCTGGTGGAGGTCTGCTGGGCGGCGGGGGCT